TATGATATATGATACAAATACAAAATATGTGTTAATTGACTATGTTATTGTAGGGCTTCCTGTCAGCAGTAGGCTAGAAGTGTTTGGGCAGTCAGAAGTTACACATGAATTTTCACCTGTGTGGCCTGTAGGTGCCCCAGGCCCATTATTATTCAAGGGTTAGCTTTAGTGGCATGTTTTTAAAATGAGAAACATGCCAGGATAAATATCCTGGCAGTTTCCAAGAAATCTAAACCATCTTGTAAAACTCATTTCCATTTATTCAATGACGTTTGTATCACCATTTGTTAGGTACTTTCTTGCCTACAGTTTGATGACTGTTCTTGTAGAAAACTAACTCTTCTTTTATGCTGGTCTCTTTTATGAAATGTGACTGAAGTGTGTTTGGATTTGGCAACACTTGGATGTGTCTGTTTCCTTACTGTGGCCAGGCAGGTTGACTCAGTGTTAATAGATTTAACTATCATTTGGCTAAGGTATACCCACCCATTTAGTAGGTCTGGGATGAGGCTTTGGAGTATGTTCTTTAAGAGGCTCCTTCAGTGATGATAATGTACAACTAGAATTTAGAATAACTACCTTAGGTACTTGAAAGTTGTTCCAGTCCTCTATGTATTGTTTTTGGTTATGGTTGTTTGTTATTAGTTTAATTGCTTTATGGACTGAAATTGATATTGAGGCTTTGATATTGTTGAAATTGGCTTTACAACCTGGTCACTTTTTTATAACTGTTCTGTGTGTGACTGAAAAAGAAAATGCAATTTCTAATGTGTGAAGTATTCTTAGATGTTAGTTATATTAAACTGGTTAATGATATTGTTAAAACCTTATGTATTTTATGGAATGAGTTTATGTCTGAGGGTTCCTTTAAGATAATAGAGTTTTGGGAGAAGTGGATGGGATATAGATGAAACAAGACTGGCCATGGGGATCAACAGATAACAATTCAAATGGAGTGATAGGTACATGGGTTCTTTATACTATTTTGTCTATTTTTGTACGTGTTTAAACTTCCATGTAAAATTTTTTTTATCTTTAAAAGCTGTACAAATAATCTTTCTTTCCTAATTTTTTGTCTACTTAGTTTATTGATAACTGGAGGGCATGTTAAAATCTCCTGTTGTCTAATTCTTTCAGTTTTTGTGTTACATGCTTTGAGGTTACATTCTTAGACTAATGCTAGTTAATAATGGTTCTGTTTTCCCAGTGACTTCTCATGATTAGACAGTGACCCACTCTATCCCTAATACTTCTTTTGTGCTTTTTGCATTAATGTATGTTTTGTCTGATATTAATGGTATTGGTCTTAGAATTTGCCTTCTCAGTCCTGTTATTTTTAGCTGTTATGTTTTAGGTATGTGCCTGTATCTTGTAAGTAGCATATTGCTTAGTTTTATTTTTTAATCACTTGCAGTTTCTGGCTTTAACTGGTGAGTATAGTTTGTATTTATTTTATTTGATATTTGAATATTTTCTACCATCTTGAGTTTTCAATTTGCTTTGTTTCTCTATGCCTTTTTCTCCTCCTTTTATTATATTGCTGGTTTTTCTTTATTCTTTGTCACAGCCCCCTGCTTCCACCCCAACCCGCCAGTGATTTTGAAGTTTTGATTAAAAATCTTTTGATAGTTACCTTTAAGTCTTAATATGGGTATTTAATTAGTGCTAAAGTTAATTTCACTTCCTACTGCCCTCATGATTTCAGGACCTTAGAACACTAATTCCCAGTACCCACTTTTGTCTTACAAGTGATTTTCTATTTTTAGTTCCATTTTATTTATATCCCCATATTAGTCATCATTGCCATTGTTCAGTTTCTTTGCTCACCAGTGCTTCTTGCCTCTCACTGCTTTTTGATTCAGTTTCTTTCTAATAATATATCTGTTAGTAGTAAATACACTAGGCAATTGGCTGGAGAAGTTCTTATTTACTTTCATGCATGGATGACAAGCTTAGCTGGGTATAGAATCTTCAGTTGACGCATCTGTTGCCTCAGCATTTTGAAGACAGTTCCATTGTTGTTAGCTCGCCTTTTCTCTTTTCCTTTTATTTCCCTGTTCTTACCTTCTTTTGTCTTTTTGTCATATTTTCTAAGAATTCATCTTCTTTGTCAGCTGTGGAGAATTGTCCACTATCTTTACAATATTTACTCCTCCTTTTCTGTCTTTGTCCTCTGGAACTCTCTTTAGAGGAATGTTACAGCATCTCATTTTATCCTGGTGTCTAACTTCTTACTTCTCACCTTTCTCTCTGTATGTGTTGTGTAGTTTTCTGATATATTTTGCAGTACTACTACTCTTTCATTCATGTCTGATTTAATATGTTTAACCTATTCACTAAGTTTTAAATTGTTTCAGGTTTTCTTGGTTACTTTTCAGTTCTGCCTATTCTTTTTTCATAGTACCTTGTGTCCTAGTACTTTGATTTCTTCTATATTTTCAATTATTTAAAACTACTGAATTTTTTTTGAGATATAATGAACATATAGAACAAAATTCACTCTCTGTAGTGTACAGTTCTGTGAGTTTTGACAAACATCCATTTGCATAATCACCGCTACAGTGAAGATGTAGAAAGAACTGCTCCATTACTCCCTGAATTCCCTTTGACCCTCTCAGAACCCTGCATTGCACTCTAAAACCTGCTGAGTTTTAAAATTTTTAATTGATAATACATTCACATTGTTTAAGACTTCAATCAGTGTGAAAATGTATGTAGAAAGTGTCAACTGTTACCCTGTTCCTCTCAGTCTTGCAGGTACTCTTTGATCAGTTTATTACATATCCTTACAGTATTTCTTGATGCAAAAATAAGCAATATGCTTATTTTTTTTCCATCCTCATTACACAAGAGTTAGCATATACACTCTGCACCTTGCTTTTTACACTTTTTAAAGAAAAGCCAGTGAATCTGAGAGGGCTTTCCAGTTTCTAACAAAGGCATAGTGTTTCATTTTGTAGTTGTTTTGTTTGTTTAGCCATTTTCTTATGGTCAAACAGCTTGATGGTAGTCTTATAAACTGTATTATGGTGAACAGTCTCTTATACATGCTGTGTGTGCATGTGTGTTTGGGTGTGTGTCTTAGTCTAGACTGAACTCTTTGAAGAAATAAGTTCTGTGTTCTTTCCTTTATGCCCTAATGCCTGGCCCAGTGTCTGGTGCATAGGGATTTATTTGGGTGGTTGTGGGGGTGAGGGGGGTAAATTGGTAGATATCAGGAAGGTCACTGTGACTACTCTTACCTGACAGATTGCCTGAAGACAGAATTTCTCAGGATGTGTTGTGCATGAGATGTCACATGAAAAACATATTATAGCTTTAAAATCCTCATCTTGATAGTTTTATGCCTGATTACAGCCAGTTTTTCCTTTAAACTAAAGTATGGCTTGGAAGTACAGAACAAATTCTGCCAGCTCAGTCCTAACAGCAGTGAGCTATTTTGTCTACTTTTCACAGTATGGTATATTTTTAGTTTATAGATAAAGAGCTTAATATTTCTACACTAACAGATATAATAGGGTTTTTTTTTTCCTTTTAATAATGAGATAATTTTACTGGCTATAAAAACTCAAGTTCAAGGGTTTGGAGGTTAGAAAATGCCCATTTTGTTAAAATGACATACAGTATGTCATAAACATCTTGGTAATCACCCCAAAAGCAAATCTTGAGAGCTGTTATCATACCAAGAAGTTGATTGATGGCTGACATTATTTCATATAGTCAAAGAATAATCGAGTGGGTGCTGAACAATGGGAGGGAGTAAACAACTCAGTGGCAAGAAAGATGCAGGATTTCTCCTAATCGAGTGGGTGCTGAACAATGGGAGGGAGTAAACAACTCAGTGGCAAGAAAGATGCAGGATTTCTCCTGGGGATTGTATAAAATAGGAAACTTAACCAAATGTGTGTGCTGCAAACTTCCTGTAATGGTTCTTTGCCATTTGGTAGAGGTTTCTGAGGTTGGAAGAAAGTCCTAGTAGTTTCATCTTTCTTAAAATTTTCCTTTTACCAGATGAGAAACAGCTCTAGGTATCAGTGATGCTGGCTCAGCAAACTAGTTCTTCCTAAGACGTATTTAATTTTATAAACACATGTCTGATCAAGACATGATTAATGCACATTTACGAAAAAACGATCGACAACAAAATGGTGCAATTATATGAATGTTCCAGTCAGAAAAACCAAGAGGAACAAAGATACAAATTTAAAGGAAATTACATGTATGTCTGTGATCAAATGTGTTGGCTTTTAATTATTTGGCCGGATTTCACAGATTTCCCAGCTCTTATTACGTTGATGCCCTACCACTTTACTAAGACATACGTGACTCTAACTACACTAGTACCACCAGGTCAGAATTACCCTTTCCTTCAGAGTGGGAGAACATAGAAGTTCCTTTTAAAGGTTGATATTTTTTTTCCATGTCCCCTTCACGTTCATGTGTTGTTAAGCTCTATCATACAGACAGAAATATTACATTAAAAAACTTTTTGATTATGACATTATAATTAAAGAAAACAAACATTTTTTTGTATGTTTAAAAGAAGTCCTTTGCAGCAGCTTCTCAAAGGTAGGAATGGTTCTCTCTGAGAATGGCTGGCTCGCCCTGCTTCCACCTGGCTTCCTCATGAAAAATAATTGAAGACACCTGTGAAAGCATTGCAGTCTACTTTGGTGGAATCATTTTATGAGTCCTTTTTCCTGCTTGGATTTTTGACTTAACAATTCTCGAGTGATTCTAGATAGGAGTTGAAATATATGTCTTCATTGGGCTTACTCTCCTAGGTGCCTTCTCTGCATTCACAGGCAGCCTTCTCACTGGATCTGGGGCTACTTTCTCAGATGTGACCTGGAGGAGGAACTGTCTTTTTAAATAAGTTATATAATATTTTTAAGTTATCTTTTGGGTAAAATAACTGAAGATGATCCTTTTGATAAGGCAGATCACAGACTTTAAGTGTTTTCATTCTGTATTTATTAATTTTTCTTTCCGTATTGCAGGGGAAGGTGTGGCTGATTGATTTTAATCCATTTGGTGAAGTAACAGATTCACTGCTTTTCACTTGGGAAGAACTGATATCTGGAAGAAACTTAAAAGGTGATTTTCGTGAGGGAGATGCTCCAGAACAGGTAAGGTGACAAGAAAGATGTACAGGAAACTTTTCAGTTGACTAAGTGATTGCTTGTTGTTCTTTAGGCACTAACACAGATTTATTAGTAGATACTTGCCCATGGAGGTGATCAAAAAGTGTGTGCATTGTGATTCATTCATTTCACTTTATGTATTAAAAAACATGTAAGTAGTACATGCTCATTTTTAAAGAAAAATCTAAAATCACCCATAATCTTATGTTTCGTGTTTAACACACCTATATACACAGAAACTTTTTTAAATAAATGAGATTATATTACATATGTAATTGTGTGTACTAAGTTTTTCATTTAGCATTATCTTATGAGTATTATATATATATACATTTTTAAATAGGTTTGTTTTCACATGGTCATTTCAAAAAACAGTATTAGAAAGGGACTAGACTTAAAATGCTACCACCTACAAATAGCTATCTTTAGCACTTGAGTTCATATTTTTTCCAGGCATTTTTTGTATGTACACACACATACACACACAGTTGTACATAAGTGGGATCACACAGTTGCACTCATACTGTTATGTAACTTGCTTTTTGGAACTGCTCAGTACTCACCTGGTTACACCCAGCTTCCTTGGGTGGCCCTGTCCTGTGGTGCCTGCTACTTCCCACCTGTGTGCTCCTCAACTGGTGCAGTTGGCCTCTGTCCCTGCCACTCCAAGAGTGCTCTTGGCAAGGGCTCCCCCGACTTGTTGGTAATCCCAGTGAACCATGCACAGTCTTCCTGTCACTTAACCTCTTTGCACCATTTGAATGTTACTTTGTTCTTACAATACTTCTTCCCTTGGTTCTGTGATACCTGCTTCTATCCTGGCTTTCTTCTGCTTTTCTGGCTGCTGCCTTGCCTGCAGGGTGAGCATCTTCTCTTTCATCCCTCTCTGACCTGTTTCTCTTCATCATTACTCTGTCATGGGCCCTCTTGGGACCTGTTTTTCTAGATCTGACTTAGATCATATTTTCCTGTCACGGCCCTAGCCCTACTGTGTGCTTGCCTGTGTCCTGCCTTAGGCTATAAGGTTCTGAGTCAGGGACAGCGGCTCTCTTATTCTCTATTTATCTGTGGGGCTTGGCACAATGCCAGGCACAATTAATGTTTGTCAAATTAATGAATGAAGGAGTCACATCCCTGCTGGCATCTTAGAGTGGGGAACCATTCAAATATGAATGTCAAAGAAGGAGAACAGGAATTACTCAACAAAGGGTTATTTTTCAACATGAGGGACACAGTTACTAGATAGAAACCATTTGTACAAGACTCTGTGATCCAAACCCTACCTATTTCTTCTTACTTGAAACATTACATGGGAGCTGGGGGTGACAAACAGGAAATAGGACTGGCTCCTGTCTTTCCCCCAGTGTCACCTCCTGCTGTCCCCCCAGTCCTTGTTCTACTCGCCAAGACCTGGCCTTCTCTGTTCTTGAGGCTGCCAAGCCCTGCCTTGCCTTGAGGTCTTTGCGCTAGTGGTTTCTACTGCTTTCAAAGCTGTTTTGCTCCCAGACTCACGAGGCTATGTTCATTGTACTTCTCAGTTCTCAGTCCAGCCCCCTCTGTAGAGAGCGGGTACCTAACCACCCCTCTGAGGTAGTCTGCTCCATTCTCCTCTTATTATGGCACCCTGTTGTTTTGTTTTTATAACATTTTTTACTGTCTGAAGTGATACTGTTAATTTAATTGCTTATTGGCTGTCTACCAGTCTCGTTTACCAGTCTGTCTCCCATACCCAGACAAGGTCCAGCACAAAGCAGCTGTTTCATAAGTATTTGTCAGATGGTTGGTGTGTCTATCAAAAGATACAGCAAGCTTTCTAGGGTTTCATGGTCCTGTTCCACTGAAGTTCCTGGCTGGTCTCCATCCACTGGACACCTCTGTTCTTCACCTATGTATCTCAGCCGATGAAGTCCAAACCCAAGGCCTTATGTCTCTGAAATCCTTTTTGACACAAGGCAACATGTAAATATTATATGCAAGACTCTAAGCAAGTATATTAAAGAATGTGAAGACTGGTTAAATAGGAGACTTGAAGTTGTAATTTTACATAGGTGGTAAGAGGGATACACAGTTAAATGACAGAAGAGCACAAGAGTGTTAGGAATTCATAGCGCTTGTTTGCCCTCCCTTTTAACTTTATTCCCTAAGGCAGTACTTTCCAGCTGTGTACCTGTAGAATATGATAATATTTAGAAAGCATTCTGGCCCAGGTGAGGTTGTTCGAGGCCAGTTGTAACTAGCCTTAGGTCTCTGGCCCATTCAGGGACTGAGCTCCATGACTCATCTGCAGCACACAGTGGCTGTGCAATGGCAGCATTTAGGGATCAGCCTAGCATTCCATGAGGACCCTGTTTTCAGGTGCCTTACATTTATTTCCTAGTGAGTATGTTGAAATATTTTTTAGATCTTGATGCTTTCTTTTGCTTCAGAATCTTACTTTCTTCCTTGCCTCAGACAGAAGAGAATACAGAGTTGAAATTATTATGCTAGTGTCTTTTCAGTTTGGAGAAGACTTAAAAAGAAAATTTCGCACAGTCTTTCCTTTTTTTTTACTTCATAAAGGATTCTCCAGCTTTCCGGTGTACAAACAGTGAAGTTACAGTTCAACCCAGTCCCTATCTGAGTTACCGACTGCCCAAGGATTTTGTAGACCTGTCTACTGGAGAAGATGCTCACAAACTCATAGATTTTCTTAAACTGGTAAAGTATATGTATTACAGTATGCTGATCATCTTTGCAAATTGAGTTTATAATATTTCATCTCAGTCATATGCTACCTAGACTTGTATTTGATAATTATGAATTAAAGGGGCAGAATTACTGAGTTAGGTCATTTTATAATGAAATATACAAAGTAAGCTGAAGGAGTCATTTATTTAGAGTGGTAGATGTTTTTATGATGTGTATCCTTTTTGAGTAATTTTTGTAATAGTTCTAATTTTGAAGAGAATATGTAAACTGTTCCAGGGCCAAGAGAAAATTAGATTCTACTCTGGTTACTTTGGGGAGAATGTGAGTATTGTGTTTCTGTGTTTCTGTGTGGGAATGTTTGCATGTAGAGGAAAGAGAAAAAAAAAATACTTAAATACCTGAGGATAATGCAGCTAGGAGCCAAAGTGATAAACTAGCTTCATGAATTAGTGAAGACATGTTTTTCCATGAAAATTTTCAACTACAACTTTTGCCAGGGCCTTTAGAAAATCATATTTGCTGACAGAAAAAGTGTCCTTGGCTGTACAGATATCCCAGTCAGAACATCCTATTTTAATGCATCTTGGTTTCCTTTGACAGAAAAGAAATCAGCAAGAGGATGACTGAGTAGAGCCTCTAGTATTGGAGACGGAGTTAAAGAGGAAACCATTTACATTTATTTCCTAGTGAGTATGTTGAAATATTTTTTAGATCTTGATGCTTTCTTTTGCTTCAGAATCTTACTTTCTTCCTTGCCTCAGACAGAAGAGAATACAGAGTTGAAATTATTATGCTAGTGTCTTTTCAGTTTGGAGAAGACTTAAAAAGAAAATTTCACACAGTCTTTCCTTTTTTTTTACTTCATAAAGGATTCTCCAGCTTTCCGGTGTACAAACAGTGAAGTTACAGTTCAACCCAGTCCCTATCTGAGTTACCGACTGCCCAAGGATTTTGTAGACCTGTCTACTGGAGAAGATGCTCACAAACTCATAGATTTTCTTAAACTGGTAAAGTATATGTATTACAGTATGCTGATCATCTTTGCAAATTGAGTTTATAATATTTCATCTCAGTCATATGCTACCTAGACTTGTATTTGATAATTATGAATTAAAGGGGCAGAATTACTGAGTTAGGTCATTTTATAATGAAATATACAAAGTAAGCTGAAGGAGTCATTTATTTAGAGTGGTAGATGTTTTTATGATGTGTATCCTTTTTGAGTAATTTTTGTAATAGTTCTAATTTTGAAGAGAATATGTAAACTGTTCCAGGGCCAAGAGAAAATTAGATTCTACTCTGGTTACTTTGGGGAGAATGTGAGTATTGTGTTTCTGTGTTTCTGTGTGGGAATGTTTGCATGTAGAGGAAAGAGAAAAAAAAAATACTTAAATACCTGAGGATAATGCAGCTAGGAGCCAAAGTGATAAACTAGCTTCATGAATTAGTGAAGACATGTTTTTCCATGAAAATTTTCAACTACAACTTTTGCCAGGGCCTTTAGAAAATCGTATTTGCTGACAGAAAAAGTGTCCTTGGCTGTACAGATATCCCAGTCAGAACATCCTATTTTAATGCATCTTGGTTTCCTTTGACAGAAAAGAAATCAGCAAGAGGATGACTGAGTAGAGCCTCTAGTATTGGAGACGGAGTTAAAGAGGAAACCACCAAGGCTCCAGGAAGCTGCTCAGAGTTCACAGCTTCCTGTGAATCTAGTTGGGTGGGGTGGGGTGGGCAATGTGGATCCTGATAGCTTTTTATATCCATGTATATTAAGCTGGAAAAAAATGGAGGGGCTTTGCTACTTGTGAAAGTAACAATAAATAGATCTTCAACATAGGAAACCATACTGTTCTGATGATAAAATACTTTCTAGGAAATACCTTGGTCTTTTGCACAGGCTATTTAGTTTTATGTTTTTTGTGCTATTTTTACACCTGTTAGGTGATGGGCAACTTTGTTTATACAAAAATGGGTTCTTTCTTAGTCATTGGTTTTTTTCATTGAAAAAATAGAACCTTATATTACTACAGAAAATATTTTTCCTATTTTGAGGACTTCCATATAATTTTTCTGTCATTTTAGCTTTGGTTTGCGCATAGCTAAAATAATGCAGACTTTTCAAACTAACAAGTCACCATGAAAATTCAGTATATTATAACTACTTAATATATGACTTAATAAAACTGTCACAGATTTAATTATAATTTGGTCTTTTAAAAAAGTACTGGAATATTTGGGAGGTAGAGTCCCTTTTGTAGGCCACCATGTTAATGACCTTTCCTCAGTACCCTAATTGATGACAGTGATATCTAATTTACTCAGCACTTACTATATGCCAGCATCCTCTGCTAAATGCTCTTTATGTATTATTTTATGTCATGGAGCAGTTCAAAAGATATAGTCATTACAGGTTCCCAGTGTATCTAATGTGGTATCAAAGAATATTTACTAGCTGGAGGTATGATTCTCAAATAGAGCACACAGGTATGTTCCATAGGAAAATAGAATTGGAGCCAAGTTTCCCCTTTCTGTGTATAATGATTTCAGACTCTAGCTTTTGCTGTGATCTCTTGGGTACAATCACTTGATACTAGTATTTTAAATATAAAGTTCAAGTTGTGATCTCTGTAATCAGTATATCAGATGCCATTTCTGAGGCCAGTTATTTGAGGAATAGGTACTTCAAAAATATTTCTGTTTTTAAAACTGCTTATGGGTGTCCACTAACTCATATTATGAGTTGATTTAAGTTTAGATCTGGAAGCTGGACTTCACTAGCTTAAACAAAAGTAAATGAATTTATACCAATTGGAAATATTCAGACTATGTATAATAAAAAGACTCGAGCAAAATTTAGCAAATATTTCATAAACAGTATACTTCTTAGTGTAAAACTCATTAAATTTTGCATTAATTTTCTTGAAGGTATATTGAGTTCAACTCACTTTTTAAGATATGATTTTGTTATTATTTCCTTCATATATTTAATTTTATTTGGTTATCCTGGTGTTAAATACAGGACAATATGCAGGAAATAGTTTAAATTCAGATACTTCTTACTCCTGCCTAAAGATTTGTTTTGAATTAATCTATTTTATCGGTATTAACTGTTCTTTCATTGAGGTACCGCAGGTTTGTGCTTGAACTTAGAAAGTGAATACATACGTGATTCCTTAGTTTGGTCCAGAAATCCTGCCTCAAGAGAAGACATTACAGCTGTTGATTTTGACAGGTTAGGATAAACACGCTTACTTTGTCCTGCAGGCAGTGGCATGTAGCATGAGGCCTCCAATACAGCTGACTTTACCAAAAGTTCTGTTTTTAAGTCTCTTTGATATGTATTTTCTGAGTTCATAAAAATTTCCCATCTACTTGGCCATTTCTCTTTTTGATAACTGATGATTGTATCTGTTAAAAACAAACAGAACCCTTACTTCACTGAGTTTTTTGGCTTGTTTTCTTGCCTATAAATCAGAGTAATCTTAAGTTCACTCATTTATGTAAAGCTTTTCATATAGTGCACAGTACATAATAAGCATCCAACAAGTGGTAGCTATTATTATTCTGTTTTGCAGACTTCTGTATATTAAAGGCAACTTATCTTTTAAGAATCAAAATTTTGATTGGAAAGGAACTTCATAGATCACTCAGCCTGGCTTCCTTCCCTCTTTGCCTCCCTGCCTCCTCTCTTTTTCCTGCCTTTTTTACCAGAGAAGAAAACTGCTGCCCAGATAAGACTTGTCCAAAATTGTAGCAGAATCAGACCACAAAGAACTTCTATCTAGTCTAGTGCTGGTCTCTAAGAGTTTTTAGCGTAGTATTTTTTATAGATAAGTTTTCAGCCAGGACAAATTACTATTTCATAGAATTTTTTTAAAAGAATTGTTTTTTATATAAAAGTACAATCTTACATTTATGTGTAGAGGAGTTAAATAAAAGGATGTTAAATACAGAAGTTAAATGAAGAAAACTGTCTTTGAAAGATGAATTTAGTTTTATGTTTGTATTAGGCTGATCTCGTGAGGCAAGAACCATTTTTAGACATTTTAAAGACAAAATTCCTATTTAAATGTTTTCATGTGTTGGCTCGCAGAAAACAATTTCAGTAATATACTAAGAAAATAAATAATGATAACCACTACTGATACGTAGTACAAGTATACATATTAAGAGGCCCAAGGAATAGGAATATAAGGCCTCGTAACAAAAAAGTAGGTGAAGAGAGCCTGCCAGCTCCATGTTAGGCGGCTGGGCAATGCGTCTGGCATTAATCACCTAAGAGAATGACGCATTTACGTGTTTTGTTTTTTTAACTCAAGGGAAACCCAAACAAAAACTTATAGACATATACAGGCTGTTTGAAAAACTAACAAGTGGAGCAAAGCGGTGAGAAAGCTGTCGCAGGGATTCATTCACCCGCAAGTGTTTATGGGGCCCAGACAGTGTTGGGAGCTGTGGAGTCACCGGGGCGTCTGCCTGCACACGCCTAGCCACACAGGACCTGTGTTGTGATCGACAAGTGAGCCCAGAAGTGGGGCAGGGAGCACAGGGCGCAGTAGGCAGAGCGACGGGGCCTGGGGACGGGTGCCCGCTTTGATGAGGGGGGATGCCTGAGAGGCGCGGGGCCGAGCTGGCAGGGAGCTGCGGCAGCGCGCGAGGAGGCCACGGGGGCCACCCCGTCGGGAGGTGGGAGGTGAAGGAGCGCGAGAATCAGGTGGCTTCTGAGGTGTCGGGTTCTGCGGGAAGCAGGTGAGTCAGGGCAACGCTGCCCAGTCGCCATACGGCGGCTCCCCAGTGCGGGACTTGGAGAGTGAGGTGGACAGATGGGACACGGTCAGCAGGCAGCGAAGCCAGGGTGAAGGGCGTGAAGGAGTTTCTGGGCTGAGTTTGAAATCAGAAGATGGAAGGTGATGCCGTTTTTCTAGGGATGGGAAAGACTAAACGAAGAGCCCATTCCAGGAGGGACATGAAGACTTGGAGATTCCGGTGACTTACAAGGATGTCAAGAGACAGTTGGATTCAACAAGTAAAACTTGTGTGAATAATAGGAGTCTACTGACAAGGCATGGCAAGTGGGGAAAGAGCCACGTGGCTTTATATTCAACTCTGGGATACTGGTAAGAAGTCAAGTAAGATACCGAAAAAGTTGTTCTTACATATTATTAGTCATCTTTTAGTTTGTTAAAAGACCAAAGGTGAGCATTTAATGGGAATTTAGACGAGTTATTCTTAGTGATTCTTTCATATAAAGTATAAATCTCTCTACACGACAGAAGTTAATTTTAGCAATATAAATATTTTGAGATTATCGAATTGCTCATTTAATATTTTTAAGTTTCAGTATAACTAAAGATGACTTAAATTGTATTTTCCACATCAGATTTTCTTACCTATTCGAGACTCGTGTTTAATGTGTAGACTTCTTAGGTGGGTTCTATCTCCATGTATTTATGGACTTTTAATCAAGTAAAGACTGAAAGTGAATTTTGCCTACTAATTACAAGTGGCCTGCCCCCATTCTTGAAAAAAATCTAAAATTTCAGTACTAATTTTGGAACAAGGTAAGCATCTGGGGGTCGACTACCCGCCCATAATCTATGTATAATCCATCATTGGGAAATTGAGTATAAATAACTTTCAAAATAAGCCACAGTGATTCTTAATAATTTGCCAAGTTGACACATCAAGAGCAGATTTCTTTTGAGAATCTGGTGAATGCTGTGGGCTGTCCTGAGAAAAACTTTACAGTTTCGGGGGGTCATAGATCCCAGGTTAAGAACCCCTGGGTTAAAGCCATGTAGGATACGATTAGAAGCTAAGGCTTCTTCAGGTTTAAAAATGGAGCCACTTAATAATATATACTGTACCTCAAGAAAGTAAAGCACACAGCTTCACTTTTAACTTAGTTTCTAGCAATGGCATTGATGTCATTAATTCATTGATAGTATCATCCCCTCAGTTTGTCAGCTTTCACAAAGTAAACCATGTATTAGAATTCAGAGAAGCAGAGCTAGATATGTATGTACATATAAAATCTACTTACTACATATGTATATATGTATTATATATACACATGTATATGTAAATATGTGTGTATGAATAAGTATAAAATAAAGGATTTATTAGAAGGGATTGATTCATGCAATTAAGACAAGCTAGCTAGGCAAGCCTGAAGTCTGTGGGGCAGGCTGGAACTCCAGGGGCATGGGCCAGAGCTCTTGTCCACAGGTGGAATTACAGGTCTTTCAGGAAAGCCTCAGCCTTGCTTGTAAAGCCCTTCAACTGATGGAGTTAGACCCACCAGGATACTCTCTCTCAAAGTTAACTGATAAGGAATTTAATTACATCTACAAAAATTCCTTTACAGGAGGACTTGGCTTAGTGTTCAATTGAATAACCTGAGACTGTAGCCTTGCCAAGTTGACACACCAAGAGCAATCACAGGCTGGATAAGGAGGGCACATTGTACTTATAAAAGCTAATTTGGGTGATGGATTATGATAGATCTATGTCACGAGCATACCATGTGACTTTAGTAATAATCCTGATTGTTTTTAAAGAAGCAAACTGATTACTCACTGGAAGGGGTGTTCACCCTGACAGCAGGTGCCTTGGAGAAGGACTATATCTTATTTTTATGATGCTGCTGCCACTCCAGAGCCTTTCCTCAAGTATTTTTTAGAAGTTCTGTCAGATCCATTTATAAGCCCCAGAAGAAAATCTATTTTATTCAGAATCTTGATTTTGGACCAGAAGTGATACACAGTTCCATATCACTGTTCTTTCTTATTCATCATACTTGGTTCAGAATTTTTCCAAAAAGCCTTAATCCATTTTATGCACTACTAGGACATTTATCTTTCTGAAGCACAATTCCAGTCATTCTAACGGTTAACAGCATCTCAGAGGCTTCCCATGTCTTATAAGTTAGAGTACAGACTCTGGTGGGCACTCAAAGCCCTACACGGTATTGCCCCAGTCTGTCTTTATGGCCAATTTCATCCTCACCAGCGCATACTAGTTTCCAGCCAACCTGGATTACTTGAGATGGCTGAGGGGGTCTTTATCTTTTTCACCTGCTTTTGCTGTGCCTCCTGCCTCCCTGCACTCATCCTCTGCTCAAGTTTTCTGGTTATTAAAAGCCAACTTTTAAGGCCTGGCTCAAGTGCATGTTCCTCATGAAATTTCCCAAAGAGTTTCTTCTGTGCTGGAATTTTCATAGCGCCCTGATATTACTATTCCTTTTGCACTTGCAACCCTGTCCAATTGCAGGATATAGGTGTCATAATCCTTCTACCAATTATAAACTTAGGGCAAGAAGAAGAATGGTGTCCTTGCTTTGTTTTCTCACAGAGCTTGGTAAGGTGCTCTATCTTGGCAAGATGGAATATAATTTAGCATCGCTGAGGGTGTTCTGATGTAGAAGCAATTCAGAATGAGCCCTCTAAACATTTCCACAACTGAAGTACCACCCAGATGAGTGCATCACTCTCAAGTCAACAGTTTGAGTAATATACACTAGATTATAGATGTTAATCTTTTTTATTCGTGCTATGCAATCACTACTACAAAGGTCATTAAAGAGTTCTTGTCTTCCCTTAATGGGACCAGAGCATCAAAACCTATTGCCGATCTCATCCCATAGCCTTCATGGTGGGGCATGCTCTGGCCCTTCCACTGTGAATAAATTCCACCTGAGTAATGACTTACGTGCACTTGTTCCAAAAAACACCATACAACTTCAGGATATTTTGTGCCTGCTTGCCTTCCATCTTTTCAGACACTTAAACCCCTGTCCCCTGCCCAGTTCCCCAGAACTATGAAGCACTATGCCTGTACGGGGCATTCTCTGCCAGAGCTGTGACCTGGCCTGGGCAGCACTCCCCTCCATATGTGTAAACCTCATTCAGAATGATAGCCTCTTAGGATATAGCCCTGCTTGTGATTTGTTTTGCATTTAAGTGGAAAATGATGCTCTGGGGTTGTCATTGCATGTCAGCACAGCCCAAGGGCTCCTTAATGGGTCTCTAGAGCCAGACTGCCTGGATCAGAGTTCTCTTTGTCACGTGCTGATGGCACAATCCTGGGCACGGTACTGAATCTCTCTGGCTCTCTGTTTCCTAATTCATAAAACAGAAATGGAAATAGCACCTCACAGGGTTGTTGCTAGAAGTCAGTGGAGAGCAGTTCCTGGCACCATAGTCAATGCCCAGTAAACAGAAGCTCTTACTTTCTGCACTGTATTATTGTCATGTGATTTCAATGAGCTCCCTGCCTCTATAGTATAATAATCAATTCTGTTTTCTCCTTTCTGCCCTCCCCTGTGTTTGGGGAAGGTTCTGGTGGGAGATTGCTCTGTGTGTAGTTTCTC